TTGCCCAAATAAAGGTGCGTCAAGTATGTATTTGGAGCTGCATGTAGCCAGCTAGCAACTGTGGTAGCATTATGAGCAGTAATTAAAAAGACAGCAGATAGCAGATAAAGTGACATGGCTGAGAAGAAGAAGTAGGTGCGACAGGTTAACAATGAAATTAGTTCGCAGAAAATTTCATGTTTCCAAACGCGCGTATCACCTGTCGCAGAAGTAGAAGCAGAAGCACGTAATTTGTATAATAAGAGTTTTTGTACAAGCCATCCGTACGAAAAATGATGAGTACTCAGGATAAGTCGGTAAGCATCCTTATGCAGCGATATGCAGTATTTCAGTTGGATCCTTTGCCACTTCTCTTCGGTTGTTTGTTCAGATTCTGTGCGCTGGCAGTTTTCTCAATTATGTGCCATAAGATGTTAACGAACGTACTATTTTTGACAAGTCATTCTTTTAAAGAACTTGTTAATTTTGATCCAATTTCCTATTCACTGATGAGTCTATCAGCAGGCTACCCATTCTTATTTGGGTATTTGGATATTAGCAGGCGGTCATAGCCTGATGCAAGTGGTGTCCCACCCGATCACGACCTTTCTACTCAGAAGCTCAAAGGCTATCCATTGTACAATAGGCCGTTTCGGTCGTGGGTACCAGTCGATGAATGCATGGTATTTCCTTTTTTATTTCAAGCAGTACGTTTACAACATATGTTAGCCTGTCAGAAGTGCCATTTAACCATTAGATTGCTCTTTAATAGCCCGCTAGCTCACATTTTGTGTTCTACTTTTCAGCTCCCTTTGACAAATGCAATTCGCCTATATTAGCGGGACCCTGCAAGGAACCAGTAGCCCGATACGGCTACGATGCTGTTACGGGCACCTGCAAGCCATTCACTTACGGTGGCTGTGGCGGAAACGAAAACAGATATGAAACGCACGAAAAATGTGAATACGCAATAACAAAATGCTCAAACAAAGGCACGTCAAGTATATATTTGGAACATCATGTACCCAGCCAGTGACTGTAGCAGCACTAAAAGCAGTAAATCAGAGAGGGAGAGACACAGATAGTAGATAAAATGACATGGTTGAGAAGCAGTAGAAACGACAGCTAAAAAGAAAAAATATAATTTGAAAAAAAATCCAAGTTTTTCAAACGGACACATCATTTTTTACAGGAGCATTGGCCGAAACGCGCAATTGGTATTAGGCGTGATTGGTAGACATGACTAGTCATCAGGACTGCTCCCTTTAGATAGCAGTTAGGCTAGATATTTAGGGTTAGTAGATTGGCTTAAGCCTTAACCAAATCGGTAATTCGTCGTGCCAAACGAAGAGCCCAATTTCCAGTCCAACAGCTTTAAAATAAAACGCCATACGTGAATGCAGATTCGGTCTACACTCATAGACCCGCAAATACATTAATCTATAACGCGAACAGAAATTGACATCTGAGGAACTTTCAAACCACAATATCACTCAGACGGCAAATAGGAAAAACCCTATGAGCAAAACCTTCCGCAGCTTTGTCAAGCTGCGATAGAGTTCCGGCGAAACACCTAGCTGAGCTAGTTGGTGGTATCCGAGCAGCCGGTAGGGTATTGTACAAGTTCACCCTCGACCTTATCTGATTCTACTGCTCCTAAACTGGTTGAAGCAATCCTCTCCAAACTGGTGGGTACAATACATACCAATATGATCCTAACTACTTTAGCATTTAAGTAAAAATATCACATAGTAAACAGGAATTTGGCTTGTGGGAATAAGTCAATCCGCAGATCGCCTGTGAGTCGGTGATTGCGGCTCAAATAAGAATGCTAAAGGGGAAGTCGGGGTCCCAAATTGGTACCAGCATGTGACGTGTTAATGGCCATTTCGCACGTCCAAATACATCTATCGACACTGCCATATATCTCTGTTCAGTCCTTATTTTTGCCCTAGCAGCCATAGTTACAGTATATGACAGGCAGTATGGATTTTTCTTGCCGAAATTAAATGTAGTATGTGTGAAGTGGTAAAGATGTGTCGAATTGCATATGTCATTCGTTTGAAACGGATTTGGCTGTAATTGGGTCTAGTTGGGCCACTAAACAAGTAGCCGTTTTGCAGCCCTAAAGTAGACTGTAATTCCACAATAAGGCAAGGGTAAAATGTAAAACATGCATCCTTTTTTTGTGGAAGGCTCAAGGAGAGTAATCATAGAGCGTTCGTGATTCTGCGCTAGCATTTGCCCTCCCTCTTACCATCTATGCACCATCTATTCAGAAGGATCTACAAGGCTCCGGCTACCACAGGCATAAACATTCAGTATCGTCAGAAGTGCTCTTCAAATATAAGATCCATCCTAAATGTCCCGCTGGCTCATATTTGCCTTCTGCTTTTCAGCTCCTTTCGACAAATGTTATGCAGCTATAGCAGGGGGACCCTGCAGAGCAGCAATTGAAAAATACGGCTACAATGTTGTCACGGGCGCATGCGAGCATTTCACCTACGGCGGCTGTGCCGGAAACGCAAACAGATATGAATTGCTTGAAGATTGTGAAATTGCAACAGCGGATTGCACAAATACAGGTACGTCAAGCATGTTCTTGGAGCTGTATGTACACAGCCAGTCAGCCATTGTAGAAGCACTTTGAGCAGTTATTCGGAGATACAGGTTGTGGATATAGTGACATGGTTGAGAAGCAATAGAAACGATAGATAAAAAAGAAATGTATTTTCAGGAAGTTTCAAGTTTCCGAATGAGCACATCATTTGTTACAGGAGAATTGGCAGATAAGCGTAATTTGTATAAAGTGAGCTGTACAATTGGACGTTATTGGTAGTAATACGAAGTAATCAGGACTAGTTGTTTAAGATATCAGTTTGGGCAGATATTTACTTTAAGTAGAATCTAATAATCATTAACCCAATCAGTAATTGGTCGTGCCAACGGAAGAGCCCGATTCCTTCCCCCCCCCCGCCGACCGTATACGTGAACGCAGATTCGGCCTTCACTCATAGACATTAAATAGACGAATCTTTAGCGGAAACAGAAGTTGACTTCTGAGGAACGTTCAAAACAAAATGTCACCCAGACGGCAAATAGGATAAGCTCTATGAGTTGTACCTCCCGCAGCTGTGTCAAGCAGCTAAAAAGTACTGGTGAGACACCTAGCTGAGCTGGAATGCTAAACTACAAGCTCAGCCTCAAAATTATCAGATTCTACTGCTCCTAAACCAACTGAATCAGTCCTTTCCAAACAGTTGAGAAGAATGCAACCCAACATAATCATACCTACTTAAACATTTAAGTAAGCATATCACATTGTAAATAGGAATTTGGCTTGTGGGGATAACTCATTCCACTGATTATCCGTGAGTCGGTGATTGTCGCTCAGATATGAATATAGATAAGGAAGTATGGGTCAGAAATTGGGCCTTCCATGCGACCTGTTATAGGCCATTTCGCACGTCCATAAATTATCCTCTATTGACGTCCACAGTTAATGTATGTCACAGGCAGTTGTGATTCATCTTGCATTGATTTAATGCGGTTTGTGCGAAGTGCTAAGGCGCCACCTCAAATGTCCGCCCACATCTGTCGTCCGGTCGGGCAGTTGAAGTATGGATTCCATTTCTTGCATACTGAAATGGCTTTTACTGGGTATAATTGGTCAACTTAGGAAGTAGCCTTTTGCAGCCCTAAAGTAGACTGTCATTCCACAATAAGGTAAGGGGAAAATTGAAAATACGGAATTTTTGTTGTGGGCTCATAGAGAGTAGTCTAGGGGCGCTAGTGATTCTGTGCTAGCATTTGCTCTCGATTTAACTATATATGCACATATTCAGTAGGATTCACATTCCTCTAGCTGCCACACACACATATCTACATTCAGTATAGTCGCGTATCT